TTTTTGGGGGGGGGGAGGGGCGAGTGGGTGGGAAGGAGCGTTGCCAATTGCTGCGAAGAAGACTTCCGTTGGCGGTTATTTTAATTTAGTACCCTATGTCATAAATCTTTTTCTGAAATTATCGTGTCTGCAATCGGTTCACATAAAGGATGCGGCTTCTTATGCTTGCGAACGGGAGAAGTGGACTCGATTCATTCGGATCCTTAGGAAAGATTTCGTCCCCTCTAAGTAGTCACCGATATGTTGAGCGCATTTCGACGAAATCTTCAACTAAATGACGAAAGTGAAAGTTTTAGTGCAGTAAAACTTATTGAGAAGAAAAGGACTTAAAATAATTCAGACTTCGACAGGGATTCATTTCCTCTTCGTTAGCTGATTATACTTAAAACTTCTGTCCCTGCAATAAATCTGACTGCAGTTTGGTTACTCGAGTTTCTAAACAAAGAGGTGGCTGATCCCTTAATGGGCGAAGGTTTGATGTGTTATTCTGTACATGAAAACTTTGGAAGACGATTTTATACTGAATTACTTGTTGCGGCTATACCTTTTGAAAATCGTTTCAAAACTGTTGAAGTGGCATAAATAATACCTCATCACAGGCCTTTCATCTGCTTCAGCACGAAGAAAGTGATCTCATTACAAGCAGCTTAAGCTATACTGATAAAAAGGGGGTCAGTAGATGAAGAGCCCCCTGCTCCCGCCCCACCCCACCCTTTCGATGCAATCTGGATTTTTCGCTGTGACGTTTTCTGTAAGGTTTAGGCTGTTTAAAATTCCTATGTATGAGCCGGAGTGAGGATTAAGCTAGATAAAAGATAAATGTTGTAGTGTGTTTTCCTTCTTGTAAAATAGAGAGGAGGGCGCCAAAAGAAGTGGAACAAGCACCGAAATTTAGAACTATTGGAAAAAAAAAAACATGAAATCAGCACAGAATAGTTTTTACAGGGCTTCAACCGCTTTTTTTTTTTAATTAAGGTAATATCGTGGTAATTGATAGAGTAAAAAAAGAAGAAGAAGTTTCTTCAAGTTGAGCTTAGTTTAGATATTGTATCAAGTCTCTCTAGACATTTCTACTGAATTACATTATCGTGTAAGAGCTCCCCTGCTAACTATATGTTTTACTTTTTAGCAGCTTCTAACGACTCTGTCAGTTTGAAATAGAAATCTGTTCTCTCCTGCACATGAAGCTTGGGTTGACCATTCTCCTCAAATTTTAGTACCCGTGGTTTGTCACTCAGGTATGACTTCAGAAAAAACTCCGGGGCTCGTTCAAACCGAGGCATCTTGTAAAACAGAACCTCTGGGTGAGCCTTGTTGACATCTAGCAAGTTAATGAACTGACTTGGAGGCGGGTCAATCTCCTGCAGTCGAATATAAACACACAAAAAAAACTTTAAAAATGTATCACATAAGCTTCTTCGTGAATGTAGGGCAAAGTGGATTATTTCTCTCGCAAACTGAGATCGCGAAAGTTGCCTACCTTCATAACCACAGTGTTTTGTTCTTTATCTATCGCCATAATTTTCCCAGTGCTTGCGTGCTCCAAGATGATAACATGAAAGGCGACATCCTTCATTGGATCATAATCAAGGATGTCATGGACTTTGAAATAAGCTATTAAAAAAAATTACAATTATGACAAAGAGAGATTCATAAGCACAATTATACCATTTTAACATATTAAAGCAACAGAACGCGTAATGTGCGACGGTATTACACTAGAGAATACGGAAATATAGCTGAGAAATGGATGGCTGCACGAACGATCTAAACTTTGATATTTTTTTCTCCTTAAATTGGATTTGACTTTATAGAAAATGAACTTCGAAGCGCATCCGATTCTTTTGATGGCCATTTTTACTAACCTTTGTCATCGGGAACGTCCACACCTGAAAGCACTTTATCGTCGTCGACATATATATAGTGATCGCCGGAGGGGACCTTCAATAACTTAAACTTTTGGGTGTGCGTTTTCCATCGTCGCCTTTGAGTTGGATCCGTCGGAGGCTTCGGAGGAGGGGGAGTCTCCTAACAATTAAGTTGTAACCTTAATCAAGACTTTTGCGTGGTACGTAGAGTCAGGCGGGAAGCAAACACACACGCTAAGGCCGGCGAGTGGAAGTTCAAACCTCGAGGAGACTATACTCTTTCGAGTGGCTTATTTCCGCGGTAATATTTTTCGTGGGTATTTAAGTGCGCGATTGTTTTTATCACCAGTAAATATTGTGAAATCTAAGTACCACGAAAACCGGTAACATTAAGACTAAGTTCAGACTAGATGAAGTTAATCTTTGAGGGAACAATTTATAATGATCACAGCATTTTGAACTTTAGAATGGAGTTGATCATGACGAGATTGAAACGTTTTGGGTAATTAAGATTTCCTTTTACCACAAGGTATATGCTTATTTTCATGATTCGATTACACGAGCGGCATTTCTGGAGCTAAATTATGTCCCTTGCAACGGAATACAGTACTGTACTGGGAATTTTTAATTGTAAAAAGAGCCGTGTTTACGGTTTCACGGTTTTCGTTTTTGCTCACTACTTGCGCGCTTTTCGTATTAGAAACTCTTCAAGAATGAAATTGGACCAAATTGATGGAAAAGTTTAAAACATCGTACAAGCTTTTAACAAATAAGCTTTTGTCCTCAGCCAAGTTAATACAATAGCAGATATAAATGTCATTTTAGGGGAATTCTAGCCTTATATAACCCCTTGCCGTCAAGTTATATCTTCAACTCACTCTATACGTCCACAACCTTTCGGTTTTTAACGATCGAGACTAACATTATAAAAGGACTCTATTGGGCTTCAGTTCTCCGCTGAATTCTCAGACAGATGTATAAACTAAGCGTGGTGCTACCTTTCGGTTTCAAATCAAAGCCTTGACGATTTCGACTCTGTGTTTACGTCATGAAAAACAAAAAAATCTACAGCGCTAATGAATCTTAGAAAACAAGTATGTTCACCGATAAACATCGATGGCCTGATTTCAATTTTATTTGGCTTTGAAGCTGCGTGAAATTTGGGAATTCAGAAAATAAATACAAACACTCTTTCTTTTTCGTTGTATTCCAGTCTCCTAAATCGATCATGATCCTATCCATGAATAATTTAAAACAAGACTGAAATTTGAGAGGATCGATTATTCAAGCCTTAAGCTATTTTATCGGTAACTAATGAATTATTCTGAGTTTAATCGACGATTCTTAGAACGCGAAGACGCGATGAAGGTTGTAAATTCTACTCAAAATGTTAGATGCCGTAAACATGTTGGTAATTCGAATTTCGCTCTAGCTTATAAATACAATCGGGAATGAATCTTTTGATATAAAAACGCTCCGTACCTCTGTCAAGCAATCCAAAGATCTGTCCTCAATCGGCATCGCAGTGAGTGATCAATTTGCAACAAATGTGTACCTCTCGTAGTCCTCCCAAAGACCGCTGCACGATAAATTGAAGTCAAAGGCAAAATGACTCTTTTTGTACTCACCATCAAAAAGCGAAAATAAGGCATTTGATAAAAACAGTTCGTATGACCGGAAGACCGAGCGAAAACAAAATGTTTACATCATTGTTATTTTAGTACAGGAGACAACTTTTTATTTTTCACTCCTTTCACCGTCGAGAATGACCAATGAGTGGTTAATCCTGGAGAATTTGAAATATCAATTCATGGTTATTAAGCTAACGAGAAGGACAATTATTTAAGAGAAGAAAGTTTAAAAAAAAGCTTTTGGGTCATACTGAAGAAATAAACCCTCTGTCAAATTCAAAACTTAGCAAAAGAAATAAAAAAATCACCACGTGGATATTAGTGTTTATTAAAGTCGCTTTCTAATTTTGTTTTCTTACAGTTCTTGTTGACGTGTTCCTTGTTTTAGCACAATCATAATCTAAACGTTTCGTTTTCAAATACACCCGAGCCAAATAAAATGACAAAATTTACACATTGATAATTCAAAACTGATGATAATTTGTCACCATTCAATCACTATCTCACCTTTTGCTATTCAAGATTTTTGTTTCTTACGGCCTAGGTCGTACAACAGCCCAAACCAAAAATTAGGCAGCTGGAATTGAAATCTGATCAGAGAAACTGCGAAAAATATACGCGCAGTGAGAATGAAAAAGGGCGATTGCGTAAGACAAGGCAATGGGGCTAAATTCGATTTGTAACCATTGCATGAAATAGTTCAAAGTAAATTTGAAATTGCGCGAAAAGGGATGAATGTTGTGATAGAACTATATGTTGCAATTTGCGCGCCAACAACAGCGGTCTGATGATTATGACAATGAAGGTAATGGTCGAAAAGGTTTATAGCCAAGGGAGCTTGTAAACGTGCGAGGTTTATGACCGGAATGAAAAAAAAGCTTTTGAATCGAGCTAAAGCACTTTTGATCAAAAGACGTTCCTCATTTACTGTTTTTTAATTAAGCTTTAAAACGTCAGATAAAATTGAAGACATTTCACGTTACTGGAATGAAACAAACAAAAGTTTTATGTCGGGGGGGGGGG